CTAAATGGGTTTTATAACATTTCAAGTGCTCCACCATCATACAGAGAGTTAGAAAAATAAAGTAAATTAAGATACATGTCCTTACAGAAAGCTTACACTCTAGGCAAAAACTGGTGAGTGCCTCTGCAGCTCCTGCCTAACATCCATTACATTTAACACTCGGATTTTCTCTCCTTTCTCACACATGGGATAGTACGTGGGTCTGAAATTATTACGAAGGGAGGGTAAATGTGTTATCTCCACATGTCAAAAAATCCATAATGTCTGTTTTTCATGCATGATTGTTTTGAATTCAAACAGAACATTAAGGGGACTGTCACCAATAATTTACTATCTTCAGCCTAGCGATGCCAGCGGGGAGAGACAGGCTTGGCCGGGCACACAGAGCAGGCACTGTTAGGCGAAAGGAGCATCCCCCCGCCTCTCTGCCAATTAGCCAGGGCACTTACAGGCTCTGGGGATAAAGTTAGCCTCTGTGAAGACCCACAGAAACAATTAGAAGAATTAGTCTAACAGCTCTACATGTATTGAACATTTATCTCAATTTCACTTTGAAAATAGCGCAGATTCCTGGCTTTCTTGGAGCTCAGACCTGTCAAAGCAATGTGCAGTGACAGCTGGGTACCTTCGGATGATATTGGAAATGGGAGTCGTGCATTCAATATCTGAACTCTAATCTCATTTCTTTTACATAAGCTACAGTTTTCAGTATTAAATTACACAAATGTAAAGAAAACCCTTTTTATTGCACGAAGCTTTCTGAAAACTTCATCTATATCCAATTTAAGGTTTGTGAAAAGATGACCTTCCCAAGTCTGCAATTACACAGCCAACAGGAACGCTGGAAACCCCGCAGGAAAATCACCAACCACCCCTCCCTCCTCCAGTTCAAAGCCACAACTCGATGCGCCAAGCCCTGCAGCACTGCATTTCATTCTGATAGCAAAAGAGAGTTTTTACTTTTCTTCTAAAAGCCGGCAATTCTTTGTCCAGGTAGAAGTTTTCACATTCATCTACACTGGCTCTGCACAACCCTCCATTTGTCATCTTACCCATCCACTTAGCGTCTATATACTCTAGGAAACATTGGAGAGGAAAAAAGGCAGCAAGAGCTGGAAAGGTGCAGAAGAGAGTGAAGAGCTGTCAGAAGGAGGAAGAGCATGCAGTGAAGTACAAATAAAGCTAAAAAAGGACGATGATTCAGAACTTGATTGCAAAGCTCTGGACAAGCTCAGGTTTTAATGTAGCACCCAAGCATACACCATTACCCCTATTTAACACCAAACCACACAAAAACCACAGCTGAAGACAAATGCAGCGACTGTATCCAACAGTGCTATTGGCATGAGCAGGCCCAGTGCTAAGTGCTATACTCTGGGATGCTCCTTTTCGGCTTGCTGAAAACACCTGATGGAAATAAAACCTGAAAGTATGCACCTCCTGTTTGGTAAATTACTCATAAATTAGCCGTATTTACATTCTTGTGACTAAATGCTCTACCCGAATCACATTTCTTTACTTAAGTTGCTCAGATTTTTAAGCTACATTGAAAATCAATCACCCCAAAATTCCTCCAGCCTAAATCTAGAGCCTGTACACAGCTGCCAGTCCACACAAATCACTGCTTAGATCGTGTTCGGTAATGGGTGAGAAGCAACAGCAAGAGTCTTGAGCATTTCAGTTTACAGGGCTCTTGAAAATTTTCATTCCAACCCTCTGTAAGCTTAATAGGAAGTAAAAATTAGAACTCAGCACACATCTGCAGCAGGTTCCTAACACCATTTACACAAATGACGTGGGGAAAGAGCTTTGGTAAGAGAAGAACAGGTTGGAGAGTATTTGGAGAAGTCGGGTACTTTCAACTCATCTGTACCCAGTAAGATACTCAGAAGACTGGCTAAAAAAGAATGGGGCTGGTTGGTTTGTTTCAGGGAGGAACAAAAGCAGTGGCTTGTAATTCCTCAGCAATTTTTTTTTTTTTAATAATACTGGAAGAAAGAGACTCTAAATGCCAGAAGACAACAAAGAAGTGATATGGGTTCAGCTGGAATGAACTACAGAAAATCAATCTCATTTCCTCCTCAGCATAGGAGGTGTTTCAATGAGGCTTTTACTGCTTTCACATTTCACAGGTGCACTAAGGGACCAAGGACAACTGGAACTGCTGGAGAACAGAGCGTAGCTGTTTAAAAAACAGCAGCTAGGAGTTCGTGATCAACACTGGGCGAATGTATTAACTGAGGCTTTGCAGGCATCTGTTTTGGGCATCATTCCACCTCTTAATTAGTGACTTGGATGAAAAATGAAGACTCCATTTACTAAATTCACAAAGCAAATAACCCAGAAAGATCTGCAAATGCAGTGTAAGCCCGGCATTCAAAACTGCACTGACCAATTTAGAGAAGGCAGAAGCAATGTGTTAAGAAGTAAATACATCACTGCACATGGAAGCTGTAAACTGAAAAATATGGGCTGAGGAATGGCAGGCTGGCCAGCTTCACCACGAGAAGGTCTTGGGAAATTTTAGACCATCACCAATCAGACAAGTATCACAGATTAGATATTTGTTATGAAAAAGGCAAATACCACACACCAAAAATTAACAGTCTTGCCAGAAAGATCCAGCAAATTTCTGTTTGCATGGTAAGGCCTTAGATGAGGTACTTTACGAAGTTTAAAACACCGGAGTTCCCTAGGGCTGGGAACCTACTGCGGAACATCCAGGGCAGAGCATAAGCTCTTCTACCAATATTCCAATCAGAGATAGACTATAGTCTGCTACTAAAAATATACCTGCACAATATTCTGCACTATACACACCAATAAAAAAATTAACTCCATTTGTGTCTTATCTTTTCTAAAGAGTCTTTATCATCTTAATCATCTACTGGATTTACAGCCTCTACAGACTTAAAAGAGCATAAATTCTTCACCGTGTTCACTGTCCGTAAGACGAGAGTTAGATGCTTTAATTACAATTATATTTAGTAAGGCCACTTTTTAAGAGTAAGTACGTTTAAGTAATGGAAAATAAAACCCAGCGCTGTCATGCAGTCTCCTCCATCTCTCGAGGTTTTTAAGAGCTGACTATATGAGCATCTGTCAGGGCCAACGCAGCTGATTCTTCATTTGGATTGTCAAAAAGACCTCTCAGGATCGCTTTTGATCTTCTTCTCTATGACTGGTTTCAAACATTGAAGCTACATGGAAAGCTGTACTTCAGGCACTGCCGTGGATTTATGAAAAATATTTTTAAAACCCCTAAAAGGTTCAGAAATCCCACCACATTCCAAGTCAGCAATTAATTTCAAACAATGTCGGGTTTAACTGATAAGACCAAATAAAAGTGCAAACTGTAACTTACCATGTAAATTTAAATTGAATTAAAATTTAATTGCAAGTTTACAATAGTTTTCTATTATCCTGAATATACAAACAAAACAGATTTACCTACAATAGCATTTTTCCCATATACTAAAAATGTTTAAGAAAGAAGAAACTGTGGGATAGGAAATAGTAGGAAGCATATAAGGAATAAACAGCTTCAGAAGTTAATAGAAACAAATAAGTACAAGATTTTGGCTTTAAAATAGCTACATGTAAAAATTAATACTAAATGGTACTAGATATAAACAATTAGGAGATATAAAAGCATTTTCCTCCGTGAGAAGCCAAACAACAGAAATTACACTCATTACCACAAAGCAAAACAGAATTTTATGCAAGGTTAACATAAACCCATTTTCCAATACAGAACATTAACTTAATGAAAGAGTAACGTGGAAATTAATTTGCTTCCAAACTAATGTCAAGTTTAAGTTATTATATTTAAATACAATGCATACGGAGTTATTTGAACAACAATAATAACACTAACACAATGGTTTACTGCCCAGACTGACAGCAATGCAAAGCCCATAACTTGAATGTAAAGAGCCATGCTGCCTTTTGCGAGAATGTTACGGAAAGTTCACCTATACAGTTACAAACGGGTCTTTGTTTGTCACATCTGTGTTGCAGAGAAGTAGTAAAGGCTGCGAGAATGATACTTTCTTCATAGGGGAAGTGATGGTAAACCAAATAGTCTACTTAGAGTAACATTAAAAAAAGACTCCTCTTTGAGAAAACAAGCATAACAAATTAATTTCTTAGATTTAAAGGCATTATATATTAGTTATGTAAATCTTTGTCAACAAATACTGAGTGTAAACAAATGCTGGTTGTACTTTTTAAACATTCAAACTTCCTGTACATTCAAAACAGACTTTTAAACAATGAATTGAGTATTCTTAACGTGGGTCACTAGAAATAACATGGAAGAAATCTTCACTCTCAAATGAAGACTTGGAGACATAAAAAAAGAGTTTTCTTAATTAAAAAACACATCATCAAACCACAAAATAATACAGTATTACACTGGATAACCTAACTGCTAAAAAACTGAAAGCCTAGTAACACTGCTTTTCTTAAAAAATACACATAATCTCCCCTAGGAGTAACAGTCAACTAATGAACGATATTCAGCGATTACTGATATTTTTTGACATATTATATGTGACAAATCCGAGTATCACAGACTAATCACGAGGCACAATCAGTACCGGTCTGCAATTCTGTTTGCAGACTTAGAGAGAGGTACAAATAACTGCAAAGGGTAAGAAAACTCATTTCACAGTGATCTGTAGGAAAGACATGATACATACAACGGAAGCACATCGCTCAGTATGTTCAGACTAGTAACAATCTCCCTTTTACTAAAAACATAGGACTCCACGCTCATGAGCTACAGAACCAGCTCCCCTTGCCTATAGCAAGAGTCTCCTCTAAGTGGATGTGTGTGAGTGCAAGGCAATCTGACGACAGAAAACCCAGAAGGTTTATTCTGCAAATTGTGGAACACATTCTTGTTTATTACGTTTGGTAGCCTGACATATCCAAGTAACATAAACTAAACTTTAGTTCCAATTATTCCATTTGCCTTCAACCATCACTATACTTACCTGACAGCCTGGTAACCCGGTATCTCTGCCATACAATGGAAATGGACCTCTGTCTGAGGTTTTTCCTATAAAAGAAAGACATTTGAAATTAGGTTCTAAAATCTGTTAGATATCTGCATCAGTTGTCCTTATAGATGCAATTCAGAAAATCTGCCAGCATCATAGGAAATTTACAAAAATCAAGTTGCATGAGTGAAAGTAAGCGTTTACACATCTGCCTTGAACACACTCAAACAGCACTGTTGTAAGATGACACACTTACCTAACTCCATTTCTTATAGAGCCAATCAGTAAAAAAGAACTGCAATTTTCTGTTGTTACGAAATATCCCTATCAGTATGTTCAAATAAAAAGGGCAAAGGCCCAGCTTCACTTCCATTATCAATGAAGAAAGGTAAACACACTTTTAGACATTTCTCCTTCCTACATGAAACTAGCATGTTAGGTGATGAACGTACTCAGCAGTAAAATAAAACCAACAAAACCACACAAAGTGAACAAAAACCTCCATTCAGAACAACAACAAAACCCACACCGAACTTAAACCATGGCTGAATCGGTCAGCTCTTGACACTCATTCCTTAAGTCCTTAAACCCCTTCGTTTCAGGGATGTTCCAGTCAGGTACTCAACTCAAGCAATACAACTGGTCAAGAAAGCAAACAGTCTCTGCTCTCCTGCCGTACGTGCGATATTTGCCTGTAGGTAGCACACACTGAATACAGCGCCTCGCGCAGTGTGGCTCCCCACGTCGCTGTCTGAGGTCACCAGACTCTAGTATCACAGAATCTTAGAGATTGGACAGGACCTCGAAAGATCATCCAGTCCAATCCCCTGCCAGAGCAGGACACCTAGATCACACATTCATCAATTCCAGAAAAACTACTTAGTGTTGTATTTGTTGGTTATGCCACCAAACTGGCATGGTTGTAAATTAAAACTCAGTGTGAAAGTTCTCTAACAGGGCTCCGAAGTTTATCAATCAACACTTGAAAAAAAAAAATCTTGAACAGAAGTCTCTGCTGAACAATGTCAAGAATGAGACACTCATCAAGCATGTGCACAACAGAAAACACCGCGTGCGTACGCTGCCCTAGTCATGACACAGTTAGACCTGAGAAACACCCCCTAACACTGCTCTCATCCAAAGGTAAGCACTAATAAACCACGATACCCACCTCTTTGAAAATGAACATACCTCCCCCAGCTAGGCACTCTCTCTTCTGAACAACGCACGTTGTCACCCCGTCCGCAGAAGAAGAGAAAGTAGCCTTTCCTACCCCTGCCCATCGCAGTGACAAATAGCTCCAGGCTACTGCAACTGCACTTCGGGAACAGGACTGCTTTTGCTTTTTCCCATTTTCTCTCTTACTACTAAAAATCCCTAAATGTCATTTTGTAAGAGGAAAGACTAAAGCATGCTTATTGCTCATTTAAAAGTGCATCTGGTGTAAGCAGAGAGGAAGTGACTCTATTGGAACAACATCTCTACAAGATTATCTTCTTGATAACTGCAGGTAGTCTGGTGAACAAGAGTTTGCCTGAAAAATGGCAGCTCTGCTGTAATTAAGGGAGGAAAAAAGTTAACATTTTTCTGCTGAAGCCATTTGCTTCCACCAACTATCAGGCACCAAGCAAATAAAATACCTAGCATGCAAAGCTGTATGAAGTAGGATGAATCACACTGTTTCTATTAAACCAGACTCAGCATTTTCTTTCGAGAAAATGAGAGCCTTCTACCACATGATAAACAACTTTGACTGAAGTATGCAGAATTCCAGGAAGGCTTTAAAAAAATATTTGTACAAGAGTCAATTACAGATTCTAGAAAAAAAAATACTATTTAAATCACGGTTTGTGTAGCAAGCAAGAAATTGTTAGATAAGAATGCATAAAATCATGTTGTTTAAATGTATCACTTAAAAAGTTTGACAGGTTCATACTAAAAGAAAAAAGCTGACTAGAGTAGCCCAACCTATACTAAATTTATTTCTAAGAAATGATTGAGAAAAGTCAAGGCTGCCTGATGCTGCACTGCCTAAATATTTATCAAGAATTAGTTAGAGCTGGAACAAATTAACATTTAACCTGTGTTCACATGGCTAAACCTCTCAATGCGGGGTTTGTAAAGCGACCTGGGATGAAGTACAAAACGGTGCCTTTTGTAGAGAGAGTCTCCCAAACGCATCCTCAGCACAAGCACTGAAGAGATGACTCTCAAACCTGCAATAGTGTCACAACGGTAAAGGCACACGCTTTTAAACAATGAAAATCAAGAGGCACACCCATTGAGCCCACACTCAGGTCCTGTCCCTCGTTCTCTCCTACTGTGGAACTGCACCCAGCTGTCCCTTTTGCAGGGCTGGAGCACTGTGCTAGCGGCATGATCTTCATGTTTGCAGAGCTGAAGGGCGGGAGAGAGATGAAGAGCTGTCCCAGGCACAGCTGGAGCACGCCTGCTGCACTGCCCAGGAGAGGAGAGGAAGGCCTCCACCAACAGCCCCTGAAGCTTCACTGATAATTACATGGAAAGGCTTCCCAGCATCGTGCTGTCTGGCCATATCACAGGACAGTTTCACTAGCAACATATTGGAAAAGTGAAAGAGTATTGACTACAAATTGCCTGTTGTCAGTTAACAAACTTCAGCTGCTCCAGCCTGGGCACGGTGCTATTCCCACTATTTAAAGCCCTGTAAGCACACTGTCACAGGTCCTGTTTACTTACCAACAGAAACAGAAAATACTTAGCAACTACTCCACGTAGTAAGTCAAGTACTTGAAAGGCGGGTAACGTCAAGTTTGAGAAGATGACACTTCCTCACTGGTTTAACAAACAGGTAGGTCCCGGACATGACATCTTACCCATGCACGGGCAGCCTCTGGCGCCCAGCACAGTTCCAACACCTAGCCAAACACACCGGAGCAGAACCCCTTGGGGGCTTCAGCTTATCAAATACCTGTCTTAATTATTCAGATTCTCTGCAGATTGACAGAAGAGCATAAAAGGTTACCGTAAAAACCAAATTTATTGGAGTACCAGTGTTTATGAGCACACAAACTTTACAAACACAGTGACACCGCAAGCCAAAGCAGAGCTGGGGATGTCTTTCTCGCAGGTCTACCCCACAAGATTTGCTGTTGGGTACGTTACACCCTCCGAGCGTATCCTCTCCTCTCATGAAAATCTTGTCTCAGCCAGTGCTCACTACACAGATGGCAATAGTATCTCTTTTTTATAGCTGGAAGTGCAGGAACACAGCATTAAGGGGACAGGAGGAAGGAAGCTCACTACAGCACCCGACATGAACTGGGAGAAGGAGGGGTATCCAAAACCACTGTTAGATGACCAAATCCCCACCGAATGTTTCACCTGCACAGCTTTGTGTCGATATGGCCCTAAGGTAGTGTGTAGACAGACCAGCTGGGAAGGGAAAGTAGCGCCCAGATGAAATCTACTTCCTCTTTGGATCCTACTTTATTTGCACAAAATATCCCTGAAAAGTAGAGCAACTCTGGCCAGTTTCCCCAACCCCAGCACCTCCCATCAGGCCCGTGCAGCGAGGCCTCCTGCACAAGGCTCTTGGGAATCACCAGCTCCTTGACCACCTGTATCACCCACCGCCTGACTCATGCTTCACAAGTTGCCTGCTGTCATTTTAGAAGCAAAATCTATGCCTGGCTTACAAAGCAGCATCATGGCAAACCTCTCTTCAGCTTCCCTACCAGTGGCTCTATATCCCAGAGCTTTGTCTGCCAAACAGATCTGTACTCAAGCAATGGACATTTTAAAAATCATCAAGTTGGTTAGACACAGAAACCTTAAATCTGCACAGATCAACTCACAAGGCATTTGAATCTTTTAATAACCTGGAAGGAGTTAGTTTTTTTTTTAAAGTAAGTTTCATGTGTTTTCATGAACAAAAACTTCAATCACCTAATCACTAACAGGCTTAAAGCCCAAGGACTAGAGAGTTAAAAGAAACCCAGAAAATCCCAGTAAGCATTCTGAACGGCAAGTATTCCCTAACTTCGTAAACTTAAAACCTTGGCCCATTTTGTACCAAACCAAACACTAAGAGGCATTTAGTAAATAATTATTTTTCTCTTGCAATCCCTTGTCTAAATGTGATATGCTTCCTACCTAACATAGCTTCTGAATATTGCACAAGGAACTGTACTCTGTGTAACAGCTGTGCAGAATGAACTGGAACAGCGAGATGCAGAGCGGCAGTGAGCTGCCAACAGCACTGCATGACTCAGTGGAGGACTACGTCAGTGAGCGTGCTCCAACTGCCTGCCAGTAGTGAAACAGCCTTTCCGCACTGCTTCTGGGTAATGCTGGGTTTATGGGAGGATGGTAGAACGTAACTCTGCAAAAAATGACTTAAATTCCCACAGCATTAACCCTGCACATGCTACAGATCTTTCCGTGCATTGCTAAGAATTCATTTGGTTGGCAATACGGAAAGCACCAACATTTTTTCATGTTTATCATCAAGTGTGAACACCACAGCGACCACCGCTGGCAGCTGCTGTTAGTCAGACATGGAGGATGTCTGCCCTACTTGTACAGAAAACCATCTTGCGGGGAATGTTGAAGCAATGTTTTTACAGTCCTAATCTTCATTTCATCCCTGATAACACCGTTAACCAGTGACAACAGGGAGCCTACCCAAGAGTCAGATTAGAACACAACACTGTGGACACCTCTGAGGATTTCTAGGGGTTTTTTTAAAGTTATGAAACTGACATTGGTAATTTGTCTAGAAATCAATGTTTATACTGCTTTCTCCCCCTCCACATCCAGTAACAAAGTACCCAGCAACAAAGTACGCGTGTTACCCACAGAATTAATATATTCACAGAGTTCTTCACATGCAGATCCAGTGTAACAAGGAACAAGCTGCAAAAGCCATGCTGACAGCTGCATATGGACAATGCAAGAAAAACATTCAACAAAGTAAACATTCTCCTACCTCTTTTAATACCACTTTCCAACTTACCACAAAGTAAAAAGGCAGCACACAAAGTTTATAGAACAACATCCTTGCTGCCTCCGGTACCTG